CCCACCCCCCCACACCTGCCTCTTCCGGGTGTTTAAACACCAAGCTTGTTCCCACAGGCGCTCGCCCCGGCATGTGCCCCCCGGTCTCTGCACAGCTCAGACGCCAGCTCCTCCGGGAGGCTGGCCCTGACGACCACACACCTTGAGTTACTTCCACCCCGGCACTAGCACTGCCTGACATTTCTGTGCTGATTTATTTGCTTGTTACTGACTCCTCCTTGCAGACCGGCAGCCTCCTGAGAGCAGGGACCGTGCTTGTCCTGTTCAGTGAGGTGTCCCCGGGCCGTGAACCACGAGTGGCCCCGAGAGCAGGACTGGTAAGTATTTCGTGAATATGAATGAATGAATGGTGAGCGCCTGAGTGACGACAAGTGAAAAACGGCTCTGATACTCTGTAAAGGTCCCCAGAAAAGGTGATGTCACTGAAGCCTGGCAATCCACACCCACACGCCCCGTTACCCCGTAGTCACGCTATATACAAACTCGTACACGCCTCGGACGGACAGGGACAAAATCAGTGCCATGAATAACAACGGCCACCACGAACTTACAGACCTAGTTTGGAAACACAACAACAGAAATTATCCTCTGCAGAATTCTGCTAAGGTGCAGCTGCCCTAAGAAACGCTTTCTGCTCGATAGCACAAAATTGCAGAAACAATGAACTGACTGCTTTTCCATGTGTTAATGACTCATTAACCCCGATAACACCTGCCTAATTAGGTAACGCCAGCAATTACAGACACGACTCTCGACGCTCCCCCGTCCTCCACACGATAATCGCCTCAGAAGTTTCAGGCAAACAGTTTTCTGTCACTGTGTGGTGGTGATGACAGTTTCAAAGACCCGTGTCACTCACCTGTCCCGAGAGGCAGGACGCAGTGGGCCCTGGAGGTCTTTCGTAAGGGTCCAGGGTAACTGAACCAAGTTTGCATCCGTGATGGAAGACACTCGAGGCTACCGAAGCTGTGTTTCCCCAAGTAGCACCTACGGTTTGTTGAATGTCTGCTGTGTTTCAGGCCCTGCACTCACACCTTTCCAGACATTCATACCTAACCCTCAAAGCAGCCAGGCAAAACATCCAGGTGACAAAGAATCAGAGAGGGTATGTAACCTTCCCAGGAACACACAGCTCTGAAGTGTCTTGGTCACAATAAGTCATCACAAAACATTTCACTGCAGTTTTTAGCAAAATGGGGATTTGAACCTACGCCAGCACAGCATTTAGGAGCCTGTTTTCAGCCACCTCGATTCCGGTACAGACTCCGCCACCTTCTCACCACGTGACCTGGATCCGGTCGTCTCACCTCCCCGAGCCTCCGCTCGCTCAAGCATGCAGTGCGGAGGAAGGGGGTGCGTGTCCCACGGGTCTGCTTCCGACGTGAGGAACACAGGCGAGGGACACGCTGCTGGGGCTCGGCGGTGAGCCCGGAGCCCACTCGATAGCAGTCCTGGTGATTCTTGTTGTTGCTCCGAAGTCCCTGCTCTTTGCACCTCATCATCCTGCTCCAACTGCCCTCAGGGGCCCTCCTCACGGCCTTTTTCACGCATAACATCACACATCACACAAGAAGAATCTCACGTCAAGAGAAGTCCTGGTCAGGCACCGACACCAAGGAGAGAACCTCGTCATAAACAGTGTCCATCAGGGTCCGGTGCTCACAGCGCCAGGAAGGTGAGCGCACGCAGGCGGTCCTGCTGACCGGCTCAGCGCAGGTGCTCGGCCCGAGGCTACACAGATCACTGTCCAGAGACGCCCAGCTGCCGCGGACCGCAGGAGCCCACACAAGGTGCAGTGGTCCCTGCACTTCTCATTTCAGTCACTGAGAAAAGGTTGCCCTGGCTCACCTCCAAAGTCACTTCAAATTCCCATTCCGTGATGCTGTGAATTAAAATAAAAGTCAGCTTCGCTCTTTCCCAAAGATGTCCAGCCTTATTCTGGAGCAGCGACGTGATAACGGGAAGGAGGC